TTTTTTTTTTTTTTTTTTTTTTTTTTAGTTTATTTATCTATTTTTGAGAGAGAGAGAGGGAGAGCATTTGGGAGGGGCAAAGAGAGAGGGAGAGAGAGAATCCCAAGCCGACTCTGCACTGGCTACACGGATCCTGACCCCACGAATCATGACACAGTGGAAATCAAGAGTTGGACGCTCAACCGACTGAGCCACCCAGGCACCCCTGTGAACATATACTTTTATCTGCCTGAATTTTGTGTATAGAATTTTTGAAACAAACACCACCCAATGAAATAGCAATAAAGTACTGAATGTAAAAGTCTAAAGTTTTCAGATTATAGGTCTTGAGATCTCTTACTTGTGAAGCTAACACATTTCATCAACTTCTTCCTTTTCTTCTTTAGAACTTTTCATTACTTTATTTTTAGAAGCTTATTTTGGGCATGAATAAGATGAAAGCAAAAATTTAGATATGTGGCAGAGGAAGAAAATCCATTTAGGACAAACTGCCTCTTAAACAGAGAAAATAAATAAAGCTATTCTAGTGCAATTTCTTACTTGGCTGCAAGCATGACCCTTAAAGAAGAGTGGAATGTGATTTCATGCTCAATGGTGCCAGACTTTGGAGAGTCAACTTGGGCCAATCAAACTAAATGACCAAAACATTTACACCAGCCACATTATCATGATTTTTATTTAACTAATTTTATTCAGCCAGGCAAAGCTTCATATTGCTTTAAAAATGTTATCATTGGGCACTATCCCAGAACCCCATGGGCAAGTCTGTCAAGAAGTGCCAGCTCTGTTCCCATTTCTAGGCCACCTCCCTCAGAGTCTCTTTCTTGCTTTCAGCAGGCTCCCTAGGGATTCAGCCCTCATTCCTCTACTCCTCACAGCTGTCACCGCCTGCTCTATTTCCTGGGGTTCCTCCCCCACCCCATCCCACCTAAAACTGGTTGTGGTCTGACCCACTTTCTTTAGCTACCCCCCTTCCTTTCTGCCTCTGAAAATAAGTATGAAGCCTGTTTACACACTAAAGGAACAAAGTACGTGGAGGAACTTACAATCCAGCTGTCTCTGCCTTTGTCATAAACATATCCTCTGTGGGAGACCCATCAACTCTCACGTGGCCGACTTCCCTTTAGAATCTATAAGGAATAAAACCAACATGTTTATTCAACTTCTCTTTCAGCTATTTGCCTTTCAGCTAGTACCACTTTGC